AAAAGCGGGGTGGAGGTTACGGACAAGAAACACTGGGAACTGCTTGTTTTCCGGACTATTAGGAGAGTGTATGTTTCAAACATATACATGTTTTCACATGCATCTTCTAGTTTCCTAAAGGGCACATGCAATAGTGACGATCTGTCCTTCCAAAGTAATTCTATTTCATGTAAAATAAAACTAACAAAATATTTTAAATAAGGAGCTCAATAAAGTGTGCCTATCAGGAGAACGTTAATTACCCTTGATGTGCGAACTACCTGGATTTAGGGTTCTGTTTCTTATCATGGACCTTTACAATGAAACTGCACCTTGAGGCCGGCAGGTGGTATGGTGGTTAAGGGCACTAGACTCCCACATGGCCAACCACGGTTCGAGCCCCAGACTTGGCGGCTTGCTTTCTCACCTTCTCTCTCTCTCTCTGCCTCCACCCCAGCTCTCTGATCAAATGAAAACAAATACATAAATAAGTAAAGTTAAATAAAGTAATTCTTTAAAAAAAATGAAATTGCACCTCCAGCAGTTATAGGAATAGGGCTTTTGTAATACTTCAGCACCAGATCTGGGAAACAGTTCTGTGCTAAAAGTTTGCTATTTTGAGATCTTTATAGCTCATCTCCTTAATATTATATTAATACAAACGAAATTTGAGAAATAATGAAACATTGGGATTCTGGGAGTGCACAGATTCTGGGAGCCTGGCTACTTGAATTTGAATCTACTCTCTGGGTGCTTACAAGCTGTATGACCTTGGACACGTAGCTTAATCTTCCTGTAACTTGATTCCCTCCTGAAAGAGCTGTTAGACAATTGAGCAAGTGAGTATATGTAGTCCAGCATAAGAACTTGCTCTTCTTGCCATAAAGTTGGTCTGCCTCATCCCACAATTCCTTGAAACCTAGCTCATTAAAAATTTTTTTTTCTATGCATGCACACACACCCAGTGTGTTTCTTTCTTTCTTAAAGAATCATTTTGGGGTCGGCAGGTGGCAAGACAGTTAAGGGCACTGGACTGCCAAACGGCAAATTGCAGTTCGAGTTCTAGACCTGGAAGCTCACTTTCTCACGTTCCCTCCCTCTCTCTCTCTCTTTTTTTAAAATTATATTTATTTATTTTTAAATTTAAATGTATTTATTTACATTCACTCACTATATATCATTACAGCATACAAAATGAGACTTCCCATTCAGAATACAGTGTATTTTGGCTCAATCAAGCACATCAACATATGCGTTATTGCCAACAAATAATTTTCCATTTCTTGTTTCCTGTATATTTTGCTTTTTTTTTTTGCATCCTTGATTCCCTATCCCTCACCCTCTGCCGTGTCCCACCCTCCTCCCACATTGTCTCTGGTATCCATGGTTGCTTTCTATATGGTTGCTTTCTATGCCTTTCCCCCCATTTTATTGATTTGCTAATGAACTTAATTAATCTAAACATTTCCAATAGCAAGGGCAGCTGATAGATACATATCCATGAACACAAGTCTGACTTTAGGCCTAAACCTCAGTGAGTAGAATGAGCATACTATAAAGTAGCACCTGGCTGGGCTACATAGCTTACTGCAGTCATCAAATACGCATTTTTTTTCATAAAACTTTTTTTTAATTAATCGATGTACATTCATCCCTTAATCATCATCACAGCATATAAAGAGTGGTTTCCCATCCAGAATATACTGCATAGTGGCTTAATCATGTAAGTTATCATCAATAATTTTCCATTCCTAGTTTCACATATATATGTGTGTGTGTGTATATGTATATACACACACACACATATATATGTATGTATATATATTTATATTTACCCCTATGTCTGACCGTCTGCCCTTTCCCACCCTCTTCTCACACTATCTCTGGTGTCTACAGTTGTATTCCATTCCTTTCCCTCCACTTTTTATTGATCACACGATTTCTTAAATAATCTAACTACTTTCAATAGCAAGTTCAGCTGGTAATTTCAAGAAAAGCAGTTTTGAATTGGTAACGAAATTTGCTTAAAACTTAAAGCCTGGAAACAGGTTAGTATTCTGTTAAATAGTAGGTACATGAACCTATTGACAGCTCAAGACAGCACAAAAACTCTTAAAACTGGACAACAAAGCCTAGAAGCAGCAATATTTTAGTCAAAAGTCACAGAATGCTATTTTACCAGGTGAATCTCATGTACTTAATCTCTCTCAGTCCCTCTCTGGTCAAATTAAAATAAATAAATAAATAAAGTTAAATAAAATAACTATTTAAAAATAAATTTTACTTACCTTTATTTACTTATTTTAAATTATTATTTTTTTTTAGCTTGACCAGAGAGGGACAGAGAGAGAGAGAGAGAGAGGGAAAGTGAGAAAGCAAGCTGCCAAATACGGGACTTGAACTGAGGTTGGCCACATGGGAGTCCAGCCCTTAACCACCATGCCGCCTGCCAGCCCTTTATTAAAATTTTGAATCTTAGGGACCAGCATAAAGGTTACATCACTGGACTCGCATGTAGTCAACTACGGTTCGAGTCACAGATCCGGTGGCTTGAAACTCACGCTACACGTGTGTGCGTGCATGCCTAAAATCCTGAGAGGAGAATGGAGGAGAAGGGATTGCAGTATAGCCATTCCTCCTGGGGGTGAGGTCTCACTTTCTGTCTCTCTGGTCAATGCATGCACCCTATAGCAAACATCTCTCTTGAAAAATGTTTTTTGAGCCATTTTTTCTAATTAAAATTATAGTTTGGGGGTTTAGTAGGTAGAATGAGTACATATTAGACAAATTAAGTTAAAATCAGTGATTTCAAACCCTTCACTCCAAGTAACATACCATTTTTAAAAATTGCACTTTAAAATATTCTTTTCACCAAGTGAAGATGAGTTATGATTACATAAAGAAGTTTTTAAGGAATGATTTATTTTTTACTATTTTTCATAATTTGCTATAATGCAAATACGCTCATGAGAGTGAGAGAGAGAGAGAGAATGAAAGTGAGAATGCAAGCTGCCAGGTCCAGGACTCAAACTGTGTTTGGCCATGTGGGAGTCCAGTGCCTTAACCACCATGCCACCTGCTGGCCCCTACGTAAAGAAATTGTATCATGTTTGGTGATTCAAGGAGTTTTCTTGAGATAAAATTATAGAAGTGGAATTCACAAAGACTTGTCTGAAATTCCCTTTTGGGGCCAGGGGGTGGCAGAGTGGGAATGCGGCTGGACCCGGGTGGGCACAGGTTCCAAGTCTGCACCCTGGGACATGTTGGGCACACTAGGCAGGCTTACGTGTGCCATGACCCTGGCTCGCTGAGACTAGGGGTGCCTGTCTCTCGTCTTTGTTTCTCTTTGTCACAAATATAAAATATAAATTAACTTTTACAAAGAAAATCCTTTAAAAAATATACAAAACTTACTGTCGAAGTGACAGGAGACGATGGGAGTGTTTGCCCCAAACACGGAGGTGGCGCTGTGCTTCTGCCTGTCAGAGCTCTTTTCATCTCCATCCTCGGTAGTGTCTGCTCCCTAGAGGAAGAGGCAGAAAACTAATGAACACGCCTAAACCAAACAGGCCAAGGGGCAAGACCTGCAAACCAACAGAATGGCTGCCATCAAATCACCCCCTTTTTATTTTTTTGGAGAGGATTTTGCTATAGGGTGTGTGTGTTCCCCAGAAAGACAGAGAGAGACAGAGAGACAGAAAGTGAGAAATCACCCCTCAGGGGGATGGCCATGCGGCAATCCCTTCTCCTCCATTCTCCTCTTGGGATCTTGGGCACGCACGCACACGCGCCTGGCATGAGTTTTTAAGCCACCGAGTCCAGGACTAGAACTGTGGTTGACTCTATGGGAATTCAGCAACGTAGCCATTATGTTACCTGCTGGACTCCAAATCACCCCATTTTAAAAGATGAATAAGACCCAGAAGAGCAAGTGACTCCCCCAGACCACGTCACTGGAAAGCAAGAGAGCAGAAAGTGGAGACTGGCCCTGCCCATCCAGTCCTGGTTCACGGCTGCTGCTGTAAGAAAGGAGGTGGAAGGGAAAACGAGGAGGATAAGGAGGAGGAAAAGAAAGAGCCACAGAAGAAGGCGGTGGAGCCCGAGTGCAGGGACAGACCCAGGCTGGGTTTGGAAGTGGCTCCTGCCTGCCCTCTTGGTTTAGACCGTCCCTCTGCCTGCCTTCTCCAGCCCCCCCCCCCCCCCCTCTTTCTTCACCAAGCTTCTGAATAAATTGTTCTCTATCTGCGGCTGTTCTTCTGTTTCTTACCCCTCTCACCTGCATATTTCATTTTCTTGGCTTGTTGAACAGTTGCAGTTTCCAAGGACTGAGCCAAGGAGCCTGGGCCTGGGATGTTAACGTATGTTACCCGTAATGTGGGGTCTAGAACAGATCTGTTTGGAAGATGCTGGGTGCAGCAGGAGCGTGTGCAGTGGCATTAGGCAGACCCTTCCTGCATTAACGGTCTCCTCATTCTACGAGAATCATCGGGCACCCAGGCTGTAGCTTCTCCTCGTCCCGTTTGCAGTCTGACAGGACAGGGGTCGCAGGGACCTCTAAGAATTGGCTGTGCTGTAGCCAACACTCTTACATCTTCTCTATGCCACTGTTATTTGTGACCCAACTACTTATTACTCACAAGGGCGCCTTCGAGTTTAAAGATGGCAGCTGCCCCGTGCGTTTCTGCTGGAGCCATTTTCCTCCTCCAGCGTCTGCGGCGAAAGGTGTCTGAACTGCGCTGTTTCCAGTGAAACTTCCAGCCAATTAAAGATGCATATTCCCAGCCCTCCTTGTCTTCAAATTCTTTCATGGCCTAAAACAGAGGTAATAAAACTTTTCATGATAATCTATTTCTTATATTGATAAAGCAGATTATTGGTCTGAACAACAAATTCGTACTGAAAATATTCTCTGTGCCAAGCACTGAGCTAGAAACTAGGATTACAGAGAAGATCAAGAGAGGCGGGATCTCCGTCCTGATGGAGCTGATGGCTGTGGGAATACAGAGATACGCGGGCAGTCACAGGGCATGCGACACTGGCATGTGCTGGGTGCTCCCGTACAAGGGTCGTGCTCCTCAGATTTGGGGGTGGGGTGCAGCAAGTGGATTCTTTCTCAGATTCCTTTCTCACTTCTTAAGATAACCAGCAGGTAGTGTAATGGTTACATCGCTGGACTCTCACGCAGTTGACCCCGGATGGAGTCCCAGACCTGGCGACTTAAATCTCACGCCAGGCACATGTGTGTGCATGCCCAAGATCCCTGGAGAAGGGACTGCAGTGTGACCATCAGCCCGGAGGGTGATTTCTTGCTGTCTCTCTCTCTCTCTCTCTGTCTCTCCAGTGAGCACACATGCCCTATAGCAAAAATTTTTCTTAAGAAAAAATTATTGCTACTGTGACACAGTTAGTAGAGGAAAAAAAATGACCTTCCAGGGTTCAAATGTTTTGCCACAGTGAATATCTGTGTTGGGGTCATAAACCTGCTTCCCGGAAGACTGACACTTACACAAGCTGAGAAGCAGCCTCAGAATCAAGATCTCTGTGGCCCCACCCCAAGTGCAAGGAGGAGCTCGTTCTGAAATGTATTCACCAAGAAATTCTTCCCAATAGAAGTGCAGGTGTCTTAAACCCCCTCGGGACTCTGAGCAACCAGAGATAGGGTAAATGGAGGCTGTGATCAGGACACCTATTCTCCTGAGGGCGGCTCTGAGGAATCTCATGTGAAATTTTATCTGCATAAGAGATGGGGTTTGTTCCTGTGCAGGTCTGCCGCTTGCCCCTCCCCTTCCAGTAACGTGTTGGTTCCGTCCAGCTCCCAACGGGAGCCATTTACTAACTATAGTCCAAGCACAGAGTTCGTTAATTTATTCCTCCTCGCTTTCCTCTCTCATATGAAGGGACATTTAAGCCCCAACCGTACGGGCCCTCCTGCAGTTCATATGTTGTACGACTGCCATACACCAAATATATGTTACAGTACATCTGTGAGTCTTTTCTTTTAAGGTTTTTGCCATAGGGCATGTGTGCTCACCAGAGAGAGACAGAGAATGACAGGGAAGGAAATCACCCTCCAGTAGGGATGAGCGTGCTGTAATCCCTTCTCCTCCATTCTCTCGGGATTTGGGGCATGCACACACATGTGCCTGGTGTGATTTTCAAGCCACTGGGTCCAGTACTCAAACTGTAGTCAGCCATGTGGGAGTCCAGCACCTTAACCACCAAGTCTTTTCTTTTATTAATCTGCTTATTGTTAGTGATTCTCAGCAAACCTCAGAGCTGGAAGAGAACTGTTTCATTCTTACAGCTGCCATACCTAATAAGTGATAGATCAGGGTATGTTGCTTCTGTGATAACCAATTTCTAATGACTATAGAACTTTAACCACATACAAATGATCGCAGTGATCAACTTTACTCTATTCATTCAACAAGAAGGGGTGCCTGCTGTGTGATAAGGGTCGTGTTAGGGGCTGAGGAGGCAGCGAAGAAAAAGGAGCTTTGTTTTCATGTAGTTGACATTTTAGTGGCAGAAAACTTTATTTAACTATCTTAAAGTTTAATTTAATAAGTAGATTTAATAAATGTAAACTCTATTAATGTAAATAATAAATGTGGGGGGCCAGCAGGTGGCGTGGTGGTTAAGGTGCTGGACACTCCCATGTGGCCGACCATGGTTCAAATACCGGACCTGGTGGCTTGCTTTCTCACTTTCCCTCTCTCTTTCTGTATCTCTCTCTGGTCAAATTAAAATAAATGAATGAATAAATAAAATTAAATAATTATTAAAGAAACAGGAAAGCAACAGAAAATATTAAAAAATAAATAAAAATAAATAATATTTTTTTCATCTTTTATCTTAGAAATAAAAGTTCCATATGGATTATTATATGGAATTTTTTTCACTTTTAATAAACATGAAATGTAGTTTGGCAACTGCTCCTACAGTCGGGCAATGTTCATCGGGAAGATGGAGGGTTTCATGTGGCCAAGAGTGAGGCCCGTTAGGGGACATGATCAAAGTCAGAAAGTGCACCACAATCCCTTTTCTTCCATTTATCTTGGGGTCTGGGCACCCACGCGCATGCTCCTACCTGGGTCTAGGACACAACCACGTAGTCCGTCCGCCATGTTGGATCTTACTGCCTTAACCACCACACAACTGGCTGGCCTTGGTTTCTTTTAATGTCTCTGTAGCTGTTCTCAACATTTAGCCGGACTCAGAATTACCTGGAGAGTTTGTTGAACTACAGACTATTGGGTCCACCTCAAGAGGTCTAAACCAGCGGGCTTCTGGTGAGACAGTTCTAACAAACTCCCAGGTGAGGGTGATTCTGCCAGCTGGGGCTGGTGACTTTGAGAACCTCGGAGTACAGCCTCTGGCCCTTGATTTGCAGTTTCTGCAGAAATAGCCTCCAGCACTCTGGACAGCAAGAAGCCTGAGCCCCCCAGTGCAGTTCCCTTCCACTGCTCCTCTTACCTTCGCCGTACTTGAAGCTGTCTGTGTTAAATCCTTCTTGCGTTTTCGGATCAGTCTCCGCCGTCTGTGAGTGTGATACATTTTCTCTGCTGCGACCCAGGATTTGGGCTTGTTATCAGGAGGGATGGTAATTCCATACTCCCAGCCTGGAACAGAGTTTGTGAACAGTTACCCAAAAGAGATGTACATATTTCCCAAATCCTCAAATAAACTGCCAGGAGACGATTACTCTCTGCCTCTCACATTCTCTACTGTGACGGCGGAAGGCCTTGGTTCTTTCACTTTGCGGAGATTCAGCCAAACTATTTAAACACAGCCTTACGCCTTGGCTCCTTCCTCGGAAGGCTTCCTTTGTGTCCATGGGGTTCTGTTTCATTATTATGCCTCCAATCATTCAGGGTAATTGAGTGCCTCCAACAGTAAAGCATAGTTCAGAGGCAGAAGGGAAGGCATGGGCTGTAAAGTCACATAGCCTGGGTTCAAATCCCAGCACTACCACTTGCTGGCTGTTTACATAGTAAGTCTCTTGTGAGTGATAAGTTTACTTATAGTTCACTTTGTTCATTGTAAAAGTAAAATACACTCTTTTAAAGGATTATTTTAAGACAACCAAAATGTATGTGACACACGAGGACCACACTTAGCATATTGTTATTACTCAATTACTGTATGCTTATCACATGGGGGAGTTATTTGAAGACTTTAATTCAAAAGTTACACATTTGGTCACAAATTGTACACAAGGGGAAAAATTCAGGGTTGTTGTGAGCCTAGGTACTCCAATTATGAAGCCGGAATGGATTTATAAAGCTTGGGAAAGGCAGAATGAATAGGATTTCTGTGCAGTAGATGATGATTTGAGAAGTGTAATTAAAGTTCCTCCATTTCTTTCTTTTTGTTTTTTGGAGAGGTTTTGTTATAGGGGATGTGCACTCGCCAGAAAGACAGAGAGAGACAGAGAGATACAGAGACACAGAAAGTGAGAAATCACCCCCAGGGGGGGATGGCCACACCGCAATCCCTTCTCCTCCTTTCTCCTCTCGGTATCTTGGGCACACATGCATACACGCCTGGCATGAGTTTAGGCCACCGGGTCTGGGACTCGAACTGCAGTAGACTACATGGGAGTCCAGCATCATAGCCATTATGCCAACTGCTGGTCCCTAAAGTTCCTCCATTTCAAGGCTGTGTTTTAAGTTTCCTTGGATTTTCAGATGAAGAGAACACTAACATGGAGGAAATGTCTAACTTGCAAGGAGGTAGCTACTTACCAGGTGGCGATGAAAGATACACTCACTTTGCAGCTGAAGAAAATACAGTAAAAGAACTTCCATCTGAACCTTTGAAGAAACTCTATGTTGTCAAGCAAGAGTGGTTCTGGGGAAGCATTCAAACGGATGCCTGAGCTGGGGAAACTATGTATTAATATGAAAAGGCTAATACTCCTGAGCTCGGGAAATCAGTGTCACTGCTTTCTCTAAGTACCTCAAACAGCACTCACAAAAGACGTCGTTAAAAAGATACATTTGACCGCGGCCAGCGGGTGGCATGGTGTAATGGCCACTGGACTCCCACATAATCGACCACGTTTTGAGTCGGGGACCCAGTGGCTTAAAACTCACGCTGGGCAATCATCAATGCGTGCATGCCCAACCTGAGAGAATGGAGAAGAAGGGATTGCGGTGTGGCCATCCACCCCTGGGGGATGATTTCTCACTTTCTGTCTCTCTGTCTCTCTCAATCTCTCCAGCAAGTGCATGCACCATATAGCAAAAATCTCTCTCTAAAAAAAATGAACAATAATAACAAAATATAATAAATAATTCTTAAAAATAAAAAAGAAGTCCTCATGGTCATACCCGACCTCCCGCTTCTCTTAAGCATACTCATCTATTGCCCCTTTCTCAGATTAAGAAGGTACTGGACAGAGAGACAGAAGATTGCTATAACGCTTTGCCTCGCTTGGGAAGCCATCACATCAACAGGGCAGACAATGGTGCTGCTCAGCGGCAAGATGAGGTCAGATGAACTTCCGAAAGAAAGCTGGCTAAAGATGCCCTGTCAACAAGTGCCAAGTCCATCTGCAAGGCCGATGCTGAGAACCTTATTGACACTGCCGATCCAGCATCCTCTGAAGTAAATACAAAGGTATGGACGGTGCATTGAGCAAGGCATGTAGCACAATAAAAAAGACTTCAGAAAAGGTTACGAGAGCGTTCTTCTCCAAACTCCAAAAGAGCACTACAAAGGGCTCTGGTGACATCAGGTAACTCAGTGGGGGGACAAAGTCCTCCGAGCAGTGACAAGCCTGTAGTGACTCATTCAAGTTCTGGGCTTGGAGGCTTGGTTTCTTGCCCCCCCCCCTCGCCTCATTCTGTCCCTCTCTGGTCAAATTAAAATAAATAAAAGTTAAATAAAATATTTATTAAAAAAAAAAACCAGAAGTCAATCATTTAAGTTACTCATGATATCATCCCTTATACCCTTATTCAATAAATCAATTTTATTGGTGGGTATCAAATACTGCTGTGTGTCTGTCGGTATAGTGTCCATGAATGAATTTCTGGAAATAGAGATCTCTGTGTCTCATTTTGTGCAAAGATAAAGTATTACAGTACTTACTAGACAAAAACCTGCATAGATCCTTGATTAAATAGTGGGGTCTATTTAACTGCTCCTCTTGCAGTTTATTTTCAAGATCTAGCATGTGGATTTGAAACTGTTGCCCTTATGAATAAGAATAGTGTATATTTTGTAAAAGCGAGGTACTGGTATATATGCACAGGTACTTCAGAGATAATGTTTTTAGTGATTACAGCCACTAGCAGGTGTTGGGTCAGGTTTTTAGAGTGCAGAATTTTACTCCAAATGATAAGACGATGGGAAAATTGTGGTAAAGACTGTTTGTACCCTTTATGAACTACTTCTAAAGCTGCCATTGGTTTTACTCATCTGCGAAATGCATAGGCATGCATATGGCCAACTTTTTATTGTGGACTTATAATTGACGTAAAGTTGAAAATGTAGTTGCCATTTTGAAATCTTTTTTCAAAGCCTGATGTTATCTTTCACAAATCTTTTTAAAAAATGTTTATAGTTAGTGGTACAAAATAATCAAGTTCCTGTGAATAAATGCATTTGTATTTCCTACCTGTTTAGGGAGTACTGTGAATGTTTAATTGTCACTTAACACTTTTCAGTTACCTGCTTTACTCATTTAACTGACTACAGATTTTTTCCCATGCCATTGATGTACCACTTCTAACCTAAAAGTAAATGACCATTTTTTTTGCTGTATTTTAAAAGTAGTTGTATTAGTAATAACTTTGTAAATAAATACTAAGCCCCCCTCAAAAAAGAAAAAAAAATCAGATTTTTATCCTTTGATCATTTCAAATGCTATAGTTAATTGAACTTAGATTACTGTTCATAGGAAAAATATAAACAGCATTATCAGAAGCTTTGACAATGATCTTCAATGTTGCTGAACAGAATGGCTTTTAAGACATTTTACAGGTCTCCTTTCTGAGTTGGGAGGCCCTGAGTGTGACAAACCCAGGGAGAGTATGTTTAGAATCAGACCCTAGCTCCCTCCCAAATTCTCATCCTGGATCCTCAAACATTCCAAAGCCCACCAGTTGCCTCCCCATCAGCTGATATTTCTGCTCTTAACATCTCCCCTTCTAGCACCCTCTAAGCACCTGCTCTTCCCTCAAAATTTACATTTGAATAGTCACAGGTAACATCACCTGACTGGACCTTAAGCCAACAGAGATATCCCTTCCGAGGCACATTCACTCCTGTTAACCGAGGCCCTGCTGCAGAGCACCTGGTCAGGTGACAGATGTTAAATACTACCTCTCTCATCCACCGCTCGATTGATGTCATATATCCAGGCGTCATCTTCCCATTCCCAACCTGGGGGACAGGTCAGCTCGCTGGGTGATGCTGCCTTATCACCATTCTTTAAAAACAAACAAACAAACAAATCAAAACCAAACCCAAAAGAGCAGAGGTAAGCCATAGTGTCAATAAGATGCAAAGGTGGTATCCACATTGTTTACTTAGAGGCCACCTTAGAGATCCATTTGACCAACAGAAATATTTAATGTTTGTTTATGCACAGTGGCTAAGCAAAAATTACTTGTTTAAACTACATTCTGTTTTTGCTATTAGAGAACAGTATCAGGTCGAATCATGTGAAATTGCTGTTTTCATGTCAAAGTTGTTGAAAATCAGCAATTTCATATGACTTGACTTAATATTATGAAATAGTGCAACTGTGTTCACGAAGGGCCACACAGGAACGAGGATGGAGAGAGTGGGGAAACCATTAAAAACCATGCTTCCAAGTACAGGTACTGTGGCTCTTGATGCTCATCAGATATGATTGAACAAAGCTTCTATTAAATACTGACTTAAGTTTACTTACGAACTGAGAGTTATGAAAAGGAAGCTCACAAGAAAATAAAGGTAATATCAACATATGAAAAAATAATAGGGACCAGCAGTTAGCATAATGGCTATGTCCCTGGACTCCCACGTAGTCGACTGTGGTTTGAGTTTCGGACCCGGGGGCTTAAAACTCACGCCGGGCCCGTGTGCGTGCGTGCCCAAGATGCCGAGAGGAGAATGGAGGAGAAGGGACTGCGGTGTGGCCATCCCCTCTGGGGGGTGATTTCTCATTTTCTTTCTGTCTTTCTGTCTCTCTCTGTCTCTCTGGCAAAGGCATGCACCCTTGTAGGAAAAACTTCTCAAAAAATTTTATTTTATTTTATTTTTTAAGAATTAAATATTTAATTTTATTTAGTATTATTATTTTTTAATTTTGACCAGAGAGAGACAGAGAGAAAGTGAGAAAGCAAGCCACCAGGTCCAGAACTTGAACTGTGGTCGGCCATGTGGGAGCCTACCACCTTAACCACCATGCCACCTGCTGGCCTCACTAAACTTCACTTTAAATTATGAGAGTACAGCTGTGTCACATAGTGGCATGGAGGTTACATGAGCTAGGTCTCACATGGCCAACCTGACAGTTTGAGTCCCAGACCCAGCAGCTTGAGAAACACGACAGACATGTGTAAGTGTGTGCCCAAAATCCTAAAAGGAGAGAGAGACAGAGGAGAATGGATTGTGGTGTGACCATGCCCGATGAAGGTGCTTTCTCACTTTTCTTCTGTTTTTCTCTCCCTGTCTCACTCCAGGGGGTGCACACACCCTCTGGCAAAATTTTAAAAAGAGGGGCCAGTGGACGGCATAATGGTTACATCATTGGACTCCCATGTAGTCAACTGCAGTTTGAGTCTGTGATCCGGTGGCTTAAAACTCACACTGGGTGCATGTGCATGCGTGCCCAAGATCCTGAGGGGAGAACGGAAGAGAGGGGATTGTGGTGTGGCCATTCCCCCTGGGGGATGATTTCTCACATTTTGTCTCTCTGTCTCTCTGGCAAGTGCAGGTGCCCTATAAAAAAAAATCACTAAAAAAAAAATTAGAAAGAGTAGAAATTAAAATAATAGGATCTCGCTTATTCATACATTGACAAAGAAGATAGAGTGGGTCAGTGAGTAGTTAGGCAAACAGCCCTCTCATGCACTGCTGCAGGAAATTTGCAGGAAAATATCCTCTTTGAAAAGCAATTTGGTGATATTTAGCAAAATTTGACAAGCATTTAAACCTTGACCAAACAAATTCAGGGATTTTTCTTAAAGATTAACTTTCATGGGTGAATAAATATGAATATGTATGCATACAGTTGTTCACTGTTGCATTGTTTATAAAAATCAGATTAAAAACAAAACCACCCTAAATGTTCATGAGGAAGGGATTAGTTAAATAAATTATAGCAGGTACATATGAGAAAATATTCTGCAGGCTTTTTTAAAAAAAAAAAAAACCTCATCCACCTATTTATGTTGATATCGAAAGACGTCCACGATATACAACACTGCCTGACGTCCACGATATACAACACTGCCTGTGAAAAGCCCACGTTGTGAAACTGTGCAAATGACACAATGTTATTTAAGCAGGGGAAAAGATGTGACAGATTTGTGGGAATAGAAAACTGCCGTCAATAACTCTGTGCAGGGGTTGGGTCAGGGACAATTTTCATTTCCTTCAACACTGGATTTGTAAAAGACATAGGAATTTTGGAGCCAGGTGGTGGTGTAGTGGTAACCCAACTGGACCCAGTATGGGAAAGGACCTGGGTTCGTGTCCTGGGACCTCCTCGTGCACACTAGCGCTGTGAGGCTGGCAGAGAGCATGGTGTGAGAAGCCTGTTGGGGACGTCTCTCAGTCTCTCTAATGGAAGAGAAAAATGGTTTTGTAAAGATAGGAATATTTAATGTGTTAAGATTTTTTACAAAATAATAGTCACCCTAAAAAATTGACAATGCAAACTTGACCATGCATTAGCATCTAATGAAATAGGCCCAGTTTCTTTTCTATAGACAATGGAATTTGTGTGGCTTAAGCGTTAAACGGCCTTTTAAATGGAGTATCAGATGTAGCAGGACTCCGGGTGAAGCCAGGTCTGGCACTTAGGAGTTCCTAGAAGGCCGTGATTCAGGAGGAGGACATGTGAGGGTTTCTGTCCAGGGCGGCTGCTCACCGCGTCGGTGTAGGTGTCCTCGGCTGGCTTCCAGTCGCCCCCCGGGTAGCGACTCTCGTTCTGATAGACCTCGTCGGTGAACTCCGTGTGGCCGGCGTCGGCCTCAGTCAGCAAGCTGCGGGCAGGCGAGGGCTCACATTACCCAGGGAAAAATGGCACCCGGCTCCCTGGCTCCTGATAGGGCGCACCTACACCCTGGGAGTGGTACCAGTGCCCTCACTGCATTCCACTGCAAACTCCTCCTGTGCTAATCGTGCTGGGCATCCTTTGAAGAATGGGCCTCCTGGAACAGGGAGGCCTAAATTACAGAGAACTCCTTGAATCAGCAAGGGGTCTCCTTCTGGGCAGTCAGGAAAGGAATGGGACAACAGAGCCTGGGTCGCTTCACTTGAGACCCTGGAGAGCTTCAGTTCAGGTCCTGGCTCAAGGTTCCAAAGAACAGAGAGTCACCCCACCCTCACCCCCAAACCTCCTGTGTGTTTGAATGGAGTTAAGACCTCAGGTGTGGGCTAAGTGTGGAAATGTCTGCTCACCACTCACTTGGTCTACACAGACCAAACCCAAAAGAGGAGTTTACATTTTCTGGATGGTGCTTAGGTAGACAGCCAAAACAGGTTATTTAAGACTCTGTTAGGGCTCCAGGAAATCCATGCTGACCCTCTGCCATGCCGATTGCCTTCTTGGTTTTGGAACTACTTTGACAACTCACAGAGGAGAGAGCAGGGGTTCCAGCTGTGATTTAAGTCTTCTGCTTGGGAAACCCCTCAAACAAGGGGTCCTTTTCCTTTACATCTCCACATCTTTTCCTTACCATATCCTCCCCTAGAATCAAGCACTGGGGAGGAATCAGAAGATAAATAACCCTGACCATATGTATAACTCGGGGTCGTCCATCACTTGTCCTGCTTCCAGGGAAGGGGAGTGAAAGCCCTGGCTGACACCTCTAAGTTCCCATCCAGCCTGCAGGCTCTACTCTTCTGCTTTCTTGGTCACAATTCCTCCAACCTTTTCAGGGCCTCACTAACCTTCCTTCGTTTTGTCTAATTCAAATCCCACTTCCTACTCTTCACCCATCTCCTGCAGCTGGAAGCAGGCTGCCTGGGTTACAGGCAGCCTGGTGCAAGCACTTGTTCTAACAGACTAGCACACTCATTCCCCTCCCTGTGTGATTGTAGGAAATAAACAAAAGAAACAAAGCTCTGGCTGATGCCTGAAATTCAACTTCACCAACTTGTTTCCTCCAAACACAAGTGTGCTGTCATGAAATGATGAGATAAGGGGTTGGGGGTTTGAATGTGTTGGCCACAGTTAGAAACTAGGCTTTGGCCTACCCAGGAGGGGAAACACACTTGCCCCTCTGCTGTTTTTCTCTGTTCACTAACATTCTTTTTCTCTTCAACAACAGCATGTGAGATACAATTCATATACCATGGAGTTCACCCATGTGAAGTATAACTAGGCTGGTTCCCTTGCCTAGTGGTTAAGGGAGCCAGATCCGATATGGCTGACCATGGTTCAAATTTAGCCCCAGCATCTTAAAAAGCACTCTGGATGTGTGTGTGTACACCCCAAATCTCAATGGGATGAAGAATGGAGGAGAAGGGATTACAGCATGACAATGCCCCATTGCAGGAGTGCTTTCTCCTTTCTTCTCTCTCTCTCTCTCTCTCTGGTATGCATACATAGACCCTCTAGAAATTAAAGAACTAAATGAAGTGTAACCTCTACTTTTTTGGGGGGAAAACAGTCTATTGGATCATAGGAAAAGTCATGACACATTTTTGCATAGAAAAACATTAAAAACGAGTCAAGATTTTGCCAATGACCCAATAGCATAACAGTTGAGTGCTGGTTTGGATATCCAGGCTAGACTTGAGTTCTAGTGCCAGCTATATCACTAACAAGCTATGTAAGCTATGTGAATTCAGTTAGTTAATCTCCTAGGTCTCAGTTTCTTCATCTGCAAATTGCAGATCATAGTAGTACTGTTTATTAGAAGATACTTTTCCATGTGTCTTGCATTTTTGCACATCTTGCTGGCTGAGCCACTGCCTGCCTTTGTTATGGCTTATCTTTTCAGGATAATTTATATGGGAACAGTCTCAGAAGACAGAGATAGTGCCTCTCTCCAGAACAAAGGGTTGGCATGCTTATTGCCCATTATCAAAGATCTAGGTTTCCTAAGCTCAGAATCATCTCCTGTAATGCATGTGTGTCAGCTGGCTTCCTTCACCCTATGGAATTGGGAAATGGGGACCTACAGAAACTGTTGATACTCTGCTATCGCTACTGCTGTGGAGAATAAAGTCCTTTGTCTCTGAACCAAGAGTTTTGTGTCTCCTGCCAATATCCATGAAACTGTAGCAGGTGACCTTGTTAACCTGTGAGTAGGATAAACTCTCAGGCCCTGCTTAGTTCTTGCCCCTACTGTCTTGTAGGGCTGTAGTCAATATTAAATATGATGATGCTGGTGCTTAGCACATTACTTGGCACATTCGCACATCGGCTTTAGGTAAATGTTAGCGGCCATGTACTTTTTATGGCCGGTTGGCTATCTCGCTGTGGAACACCAATGCTATCTTTTGGATTTCTAGGAATTTCCATGGACTCACTCCTTCCTGCTCAGCATGTATAACATACATATTATCAAGAATAATGATGGAGATGATCTGTTTAGCAATTTCTAGGGAAAGCCTGCACTGCCTTCCTTTTTAAAAAATATAAAATGGAAAACTTACCTTCTTTCAGGATCAACTATCCACTCTCCTTCCCATTCCCAGCCTTTTGGGGGCAAAAAGAATTCTCTCTTGAGCTTTATTTTTCCTGTGACGTCAGAAAATTTATGACGTCCCACTAATCCAGAAGTGCCCCATTTTCCAAACATGAGAGCTTGATTTTCATACTGTTAAAAAAATAAATAAAATGGGAGAAACATCATCAGAGGACAAAAAAGAGAGCCAGCTCATAAACTTTCAAGTCTATGTAAAGCTTAGGCTAGATAACCACAGCAAGCCAAAAAGTGTAATACTCAGAAGGTATGCACATCTCTTCGGCTGTTACTGATTATGCAATTCTGGATAAATTATTCATCTTTCTGGGACTCAGTGTTCTCATCTGTATGCTATGGATTATAGAGTTCTGGAGCTTAAATGTGCAAATGACTGGAGAAGTGCTTTGGAAACAGTGATATATCACGCTGGTTATTTTATTATTTCAAATGGCTCCAAATAATTCTCTGAATTATTTTAAATTATTATTTTTTAAATGCCCATAGAAGTCTTCAATTTACAAAAGTGCACATTTCAAGAAGTTCATTTGTAAGTCTATTGCTTAGAACTTGGAGCACAGCGGGGCTGGCAGATGGTATGGTGGTTAAGGGCACTGGATTCCATATGGTCGACTGTGGTTCAAGTTCCGGCCCTGGCAGCTTGCATTTTCACTTTCCCTTTCTCTCTCTCTGTCTCTGTCTGGTCAAATTAAAAAATAATAAATGGAATTAAATAAACAAATTATTTTTAAAAAAAGAACTTGGAGCACAGGTCTCCACAGAAATAATATATAATTGATGATGTACTTCCTGGGCAGTTCTGAGCTTAATCTTTCTTGGAGTACAGCAGATAGACCATGACCTTTGTGCAAAGAGGGTTAATGGCAAGAACAGACTAGTTTACAGGATAGTCCTTTTTAAGTTAGAACTTAAAATCTATGATGGTCTCTCCTCACCATCTCCACCATGGAAAAGGCTGAGATTTGCCAGTGTGGTGGGTATGTCTGTTTGGGCCCAAACTGGAGTTTTCATTTGTCTGCTGACAACCCATAGAGTAGGTGATTGACCTAAGCTATAGAGAAGCTTTGACCAAAGGAAGGAGGGAGGAGATCTGACTAGAGACCCAATGAATAGGGAAATCAGGACCAAGACCAGGTCCAGAGTAGTGATTGCCTCAGACATTAGATCTGAGCCTGGAGGGGCGATGAGCTTCAGGCAGTAGCTAACGGAGCTGTAGTCACAAGGGGCTGGAAAATTTGGAGGCGTGTGACAAGGAAACAGAGCAGAGAAGCAAGGCATT